CAAAACACTTTACACTACGTGTCCGGTCTATGTGCTCTCTGGTTAGTGGTAATACTCTAATTTTATAAATAATAGATCATAGATTTCTCTGCTTCTTATTCTATATTTCTTTATCTTTAATTGAATCAGCAAAGCATAAATATCTTTCATTATTAAAATAGAATAGATCTTTCCACTTCACAAAAAAATGTTAAATGTAGACTAAAACTTTTCTCCATCTATCTACTTATATTCTTTATTTATCTGTTAAATATATATATATGCAACAGTATTGAGTTGAAGGAGCCAATTGAATCAACTTCCCTTTTGCCACACACTCGAGCATTTTCGCCCATCGGACTGCTTCGCCTTCATCTCCGCCTTCGCCTTCACATGGTGGTCGTAAAAAGTTAACCAAACTTGAGAGTCATTCGCCGACTTCATCGTCGTCACATCCTGTGGTGTGTTGTCCTTCTGCGGCATGTCCCTCCCCATTGTCGGCGCTGCTTTAATCTGGCGATTTGTCTTGTAAAGCGGCAGCGGCAACAGCTGTCTTCATGTCCACATTCGCATCCCGGGTGTCCCGTCAATGAAGCGTTGATTATGTCGTCATGACCACACACACACACACACACCGAGAGACAGTTATACTACCCGGCAAGCGCACAGACAGAGTCAGCCAACAACTTGACATTCCTTGGCAAGCCCATAAAAACGCAGACAGGCAACGACGGCAACGATGGCAACTGGCAGCATGCGGCATGCGGCATGCGGCATGCCACATCTTTAGTCGTAGCCAAATCACGTTGCTCCATAAAATGGCTAAAGTAAGCAACAAGTCTCACTGTTTCTCGACTCTGCCATCCACTGACTGCGTGCCTCCTAACGCTGCGCCGCTTGACATTGAACTGGCAACTGGCAGCTCGCAAGTGGTAAGTGGCAAGTGGCAACTGGCGCGGCGGCAGCTTCTTTAAGTTTGGCTGCGGTTTGCCTTTGAATTAGTCCCCAGCACTCGGTCCCCGACTTGGCTTCGACTTGCTCTCCACTTGGTCTCGCACTTGGGTCTCCTTCTCGGTCTTGTTCTCGTTCCAGTCTATTGCCAGTTGCCAGCCAGCCCGTTGGCATTTTGTGTGCCGCTGCTGCAACTGTTGCTGCTGTCTTTCCGGCAACAGTTGCAAAGTTTGTCCGTGTTGGCGTTGTTGTTGCCGCAGCCTTTTGTTGCCTGGCTGCCTGGTTGCCTTACTGACTGCAGCCTTACTCTGTCGCTGACTGGGTGAAAGTGAAGTTTCGTATCGTTGTCGCTGCCTGTCCCAGTGACCAACAACAGCTGCCAATGTTGCCTGCCACGGCGTCGCCGAAAATTCAGGTCGCATTGCATTGGCACTGCCATCCCGTGACCTTTATCGCCTGCAAAAAGGCAACTGGGAAACCAAAAAAACATGAAACGGCCATGCGGGACTTGCCAAGGACAACGCCAGAAGCGCCACTTCTCCATTTGACTCCAGCTCCAACTCTGGCAGACAACCTACAACCTACAACGTGCAACGTGCAACGTGCAACGTTCAACGAGCAACGCGCAACGAGCAGCTCGCATTCATGTTTGCAAGCATTTTTGGCAAGCGCTGCAGTGCGACCATTGTTCATGTCCGTGTCGGCCTTTGTTGGCCCAATCCCGTTTCCAATCCTGTTCTCGGTCCATGGCCATGGCCATGGCTATTGCCACGGACACAGTCACTGCGCAGCCAACGTCGCTTGTGGCAGCCTGTCCGCCACTTGTTGCCCGCCGTGTCATGCAATCTGCATATGTATGCAGGCTGCCCCTAATGGACACAGTCCGCTGCTATCGTTGACCTACACTGTCCAGCACAACCTTGGTCGCGCTTTAATTGTCTTGCCTTTTTTCCATGTTTCTATATTTTTATAATAACAATCGACACTGCTCGTGTACGAAATCCCCTTGCAAGAATCGCGAGATATAATTAAATAACTAGTTGTCAATAGGGTTTTTAATAAAAAAGGACAGGACTAAATCAACTCAGATCGTCACCCTGATCAAGAATATATATACTTTGTGGGGGTCTGCTACGCCTCCTGCTGCCTGTTACATACTTTAAAAAAAAAAACATTATTCCCTGATAATATTCAATATTTTTTGTATTTCATCTACCAAATTATCGTTATCGATATATTTTCAAAAGCTTCAATAAAATATTTTATTCTCATCAAATATTTTTAAGCTTATATATTTGCTTAAGTTTAACATAATTCATTCAAATTAAACATCAACTGCAATCGTTTAGTTTTGTTGCACAGTGTGAGCTGCAGCATTTTTGCGCTGGCATGCTGAACATTTAAGGCAATACCCACGCCCCCTAGGCTGGCTGGCGCCCATTGAAAATAACAGAATTCGTATGTTTTTTTCTCTGCTTTTATTCACACACGCAAAACGCAAAACGCAAAGTGCAAAATGCAGCGTGCCACATTTGAAGCGTTGGCAGCGACGCGACGTTGGCGGCAATTAGCCAACTCGCACACACACAGGCGCATACACATGTGTGACTGGGCGATGCGATCAGCTGTCACAATGTTTGGACAGGGAGCAGCGTGGGGCAGTGGCAGCGCCCCCCAGGGCGGCCATGGCAGGCTCCAGTTGAATGCAGGCCGCACGCTGCACTTAACGTCTAATTAGGCGCCGCTCAAAAGCCACTCAACGGGCTGCTGGCACAGCACAATGTCAAGCCATGTCCGCGACTTGGCCACACCTTGGCCATCAGTCAAAACACACACAAAAAGCGCACAAAGCAGAAGTAAAAAGCGAAAACAGAAAGAAAAAAGAACAGAAACGGAGTGAAAAAACGGCAGCAGCACATAAATGGGCAACATGCTGAACATGTCGGCGCCACGGCGGCTACCTCAGTAGCCACTGCGAGGCACCACCAACCGTGACAGGGACTGTGGCTGCGGCTGTGGCTGTGATTGCGGCTACCAAACGGAGGCAGCAGCAGCTGTAGCTGTGCTGTAGCAGACGACAGGCGACTCCTACGTGCAACTGCGACGGCGATGCCATGGCTATGATATCCAAAGAGCTTACATGCGGCTCGTAAAAAACAGCAGACCCAGTCGCCAGTCGGCCGTCGGCCGTCGCCCGTCGCCAGACACCAGGCCAGACCAGACCCGGGCCAGACTCAGCCAGAGCAGAGCAGGCCAACAGGCAACAGGCAGACAATTTGTCGTC